AAGGGAGTCTATGGACTACAGATCTTGATAGGGTCAATTATGTGAGACTCAATAATTATTGAAGACAGGGTACAGAAGAAAACCAGCTAGAACATAGGAAATGGCTGTCAAAGAGTGAGATACTAACAACTGCCATGCAGTTACTGAGTTGAGTCCATTTCACCTCATGGTGACCCAAAGTGCAACTGAGTAGAGCTGTGCTCTACAGGGTTTTCAATGGCTGATTTTTAGAAAGTAGCTCACCCAGTCCTTTTTCCTAAGCCTTCTCCTTGGTAGACTGGAACCTTCAACATTTCTGCTAGCAACTAAGGATGTTAACTCTTTGCACCACCCAGGGATTCAAGGTCTAGGATATAACCACTGGAATGGATGGATAATACCACCAGAAAACAGGAAGTCAAAGAACTGAGGAAGTACTGAAACCTTGAAGGAAATTGAGAAAAGTGGCCCTGGAATCCATGAATAACTAAACCAGAAAGGTAGTGGAGAGCAAGAGTCAGATGATGTGAGTTTAGGTGATAAGAAGAGGGGAGATATGATTGTCTGGAAGCCACAAGAAAAAGGAGAGCATCTATTCCATCTCCAGATTAAATAAAAAGCTAGCACAGATTATGACACATACTAAGCACTTTTATATGCTAGCAGGCAGTAGTAGCAATAATAACAGTAACAGCAGCAACTATGTTGTTGTCGTTAAGTGCTGTCAAGTCAGTTCCAACCCATAGGGACCCTGTATTAGGGTTTCCAAGGAATGGCTGGTGAGCTTGAACCGTGTACCTTGCTGTTCAAGCCACCTTTGCAGCCTGGCACATTAACCCGTAGTGCCATACCAGGACTCCACCAGAAATTATAGATGATACTTTTTAATTTAAATTAGCCAGGTGGTTTGTCTTGTCAGAAGTATAACATATCAGAAAATCTAAGTTTTCTGGCAAACCTCAAAATAACTCATTTTGAGTCTTTCCATTGTGGAAAGCAAAGAAAACTGCTTCCCATACCTCCAGTGGTTTTAAACCAAGAAAGAATATGCCAAGACCAAAGAACACAATTTTATGCATATTGTTCAATGAATATTTATGCATTAATAAATTCATATAACCACAACCCACGTCAAGATTTCCAGGACCTCAGAAGGCACACCTATGAGCTTTACTCATCAATACTCTCTTTTGAGTAAACATTCAAACTTCTATCAATGTAAATGTGTTATAACTGTTTTTAAAACTTAAAAAGAATCACACAGTGCTATTCTTTTACTTTTCATTGCTTTCACACAATGTTATTGCTGTTGTTGTTATGTGCCATGGAGTCGGTTGTGACTCATAGTGACCCTGCACAGGGTTTCCAAGGCTGTAAATCATTACGGGAGCAGAAAGCCTCATCTTTCTCCCGTGCAACAGCTGGTACTTTTTAACTGCTGACTGTGAGTTAGCATCCTGATTCATAACCACTACGCTACCAGAGCTCCTTTCACTCACTATTACATCTGTGGAAATCAGTTATGTGGTTGCATGTAGCTTTGGTTAACTCTTTTCAATTTTTAAGTGGTATTCCATTCTAAGAATACATCATAATTTTATAATTTATTTGATTGTTGATGTTACTGTTGGTAAATGCCATCGAGTCAGTTCCAACTCATA